CCCAGAGAAGAGAAGAAACATGTTCCCTAGAGAGAACATGCTTGACAAGCAAGCTGGACAAGGCAGTTGGCATTAATTATAAAACTCAGCCTACACTAGAAAGAGACAGACTAGATCACCTGCTAAGCCTTCCCCATCCCTCTTAGGGGCCCCAAGCAGCAAAGCAGGATGTGCAGCCATATGCTCTCTAAATCAAGAGCACGTAGCAGAGCTCTGCATACACGAGACAGTCCAAGAGACTCTCAGAGCTTCTCCACTTACATATAAGGAAAAAAGAAACACAAGCTGTGCATTTGCATCACATACATACGTGCTTCTAAGCGAAGATGAAGGGCAAACGCTTTCACATCAGTCAGTCTGTAAGGGAAGGTTTTAGCTCCTGAGGCTGATTTTGTAAAATGCTGTTTCTTAAATTAAAAAAAAAAAAAAAAGGTTAAGTCTAAGCTGCCTTAGAAACTTTTTCTTCTGCTCATCCTTCCCTTACTGTATGGGAAAAGATTGCTTCCAATTGCTACGAGCTGCCTTTTCTAGGCAGCATTTTTTCAACTGCCATGTGAGGCCATAAAGCCAAGACACAGTGAGATACTGCTATGAGTCAGGCAGCCCCATTATGCTGCTCTGGGACACCTGGAGGCTTAAAAGCCCTGTAGCAGACCTGGCAAATTATATATTGCTACCTAACAGGTTGGAGGAGGGAAATCATGCCCAGCCCAGTCCAGGTTGTGAATACACTCTGAAATAATTCTGCACTCGAGGCAAACCTCAGGTGAACTCCAGGAATACCTAAAAGTGGTTGCTCACACTTAAATCTGTGCTTCAAGAAGCATCTTCATGGATGGTTCCGTGGGTCTGATAGTGGGTCACATTTACTTGCACTCTCTTCTGCTCTTCCTTCCCTCACTCGCTCCTCAGGAACGTTCTCATCACCAGCCCTCTGCCTTTCGTGCTATTAGCGGCTCCCTTGCAGGAGAGGCAGCAAGTGGCTACAAGCACCTCCTCACTCCCCCTTTTTCCAGCACTTCAGAACTTTTTCAGAAGCCTTATAGAGAAAAAGATTCTGAACAGAAGTGAAAACTTCTCTAACAGTGGAGGACAAGTTTAGCAGTTAACGGTTGCATCTCAAGTACAGGACCCACAGCTGAAATCCACCCCCCTCCAGTGGTAGGTCAGTTAAGCTCACAGAACCCCCGCTTGGCTCTTCGTTCTCAGCCTATTTTACTTCATGAAGTTTCGAAAAAAAGATTTGCCCGATACCCATCAGACATAGAACACATTCAACTCCAGTTTCCAAAGAAAATAATAATAATAAAAAATCTACGATCAAAGATTAACACTAGAATCATTGAGTATCACATGCCATGTACTACATGGAGGGAGAGGATATTACGAGTGTTAACAAAAGTTACTAAAAAGGAGGCCCCCAGTATTTACTGAGGAGATGGAGTTTCTCATCTGCAAGGCATTAGTCATAAATAAAATTTGAACTCACCCTTGTAAGGGGGCTACTAGCTCTAGAAATAAAAGGAAACATTGCAAGATTTTAGGAGGTGCTGAAATATTTATTTTGAAGTTTTATTACAAAAATATATTTGCAAACATACAAAATTTTGATGAAAAATGCTCATTCTTAAACATTTATGCAATAACTTAATATTTGCAAACATACATAGGTGCTATAAAATCCATACCATACCAAAAATATTAATGATGCAGTATCTACATTTGATGACTTAAAATTATTCTCATTTTAGATTCCCAGAATTTTTTTCCAGAAGCTCCCCTTCCCTAAGGTCTTCATACTTAAAGAACATGCAAATGTACTAACTCATGCATCCACAGAGTTGGTAAAACTCAGACACTGCTAAAAAAGTTTATCTACTTAAAAACAAACAAAACACACACACAAAAACCTAAACATGTGCCCAAACACTAAGTAGATAAAAATAAATAGACCACCAAATTAAAGATACTGCAAATTTTCTAACTTGAAGTGAAAGGCAGATATTGCATCTTAACATTTTTTAATGATGTCAGACAAAACTGAGGTGAAATATATTGCACACATTCCTCCTGTTAAGATACGCTTAAGAAGCAACCCAAAAGAGCTGGCCAAGTGGCTGATTTGCTTAGAACATTTTAAATTACCAAACTAAAATCCATTCTTTGAAAAACTTCAAAATTTGAAAACTATATCAGCGACTACACTTAGCATAAGAGGTTTCAGAACGATACCAAAATGAAGCAATTAGAAAGGCAAGCAAAACTGACATACATCCAGCAGCGAGTATTTAAATACTATATTGAGTAAGTATACATAGACATAGGTTAAGCATTTACTTTTTATGAAATTAAGATGAATCATTTTAAGTTTCATTCGATCGTTCTGCAAATTTTGTTTTATTTAGAAACATATACTGCTTCTAAGTTAATAGCTCTTAGGCACCTTTCATATAACTGTTTCATTATTAAACAACAGCAGAAAAGTTCTAGCTGCAAAACTGCAGATCTTCATTTTCCTGAATTTCAGCAGCTTCAGTAGATTTCAAAACTGTCTTGGATTAAATCTGAATTTTGTTTTTGCCTTCTGCTTAAATTGACTTAGCAGTAGCCACAGAACACATGCTTAGGTAATATAATTGATTTGGGAATAGACTCCAAACTAATCTTCTGCTTCTCAGAACTAAGAGGCAAAATCCCCTCAAGACAGTAGTTTTACCAAAACCAAAGTCACCTGAAAGCAGCCACAGGAGGTTGCTGCGAGGACCCACGGTAACTTGCTACCCATTAGCGATCCCTACACTCAGCTCACAGAAACCAAGAACCGAGACAGGCTGATCATTTTAAACGCACACAAACCGTTCAGAGAGACCAGAAAACAAACAAAAACAGCCTGAAATCCAAGAGCTGTCGGATCACAGAACACCCCCCGCACTCCAGCCCTGCCCTGCAGCCGGGGGCTGCTGCCCGGGACCCCCTCCCTTGGGAACGGCCCAGACCAGGACACTCCAAAGGCAGAAAAACCAGGGACCTGCCAACGGGTCGCGGAGGTTACGGGGCAGCCACAAACTAACACAAGACATTCAGAGCACAGTCCACCTCTCCAGGACATTGGTGCTTTGGAGAGTATTTTTTTTTTTCCCCCTCTCCAATTCAACTGTATATGAGTTGGCAACTCAAACCACAACCCCTTCCTGTCATCTCTATAGATCTTTGGATATGACATTAAGGATGAGACTATCTAGCAAATAGCATAAATATCTGCTATCAGCTTCCAATATATCTATTTTTGGAAACTTATATTACATCTTTCAAAATCCTTTGAAGAAATTACCAGCTGTTAATGAAAAGTCTGGACTTAGTCTTTGCTAAATCCAGTGGAAAAACATTTTGGTTGGTATTTGGTTTAAGCTATCAATTTTTCCTCCTCGTAGGATCTGTCCAGTTGTTAGTCCTCTGTTCCTTAGGTTAAAAAAAAAAACCACACACCTCAAACCTTAGTCCTAATTTGATTCTCATTGCTTATATATATACACACACATACACAGAATTACATTACTACAACTTACATAGGAAGCTCCCACCTTCCTTAAGGCTCACAGAGTACATATTGCTGAAGTCAAACGCTACCATTTAAGCCAGTATATTTCTTGGTAAGTGTGCATGACATTAGCATCTTTCCCTGAATTCTGTACTTTTTTCTCCCTAACAAAATAGCTTATATTTTAAGGGGAAAACACTGAACTCAAGGCTGAGAAGAGCTTTACAGAAGGCAGGTAGTGCTAAACAAAATATATTTTCCTCAGGAAAAGAAAGCTATATTAAAAAAAAAAAGAGACCAAATATATAAAACAAATATTTGATACATCTAAAACATTATTTGTGAACAAGTCACAATTAAAGCTTAATTACTAATTTCCAATGAAATGGCTGTGCACCTTGGCTATGTCAATATTAACTGATCCTTAGGATATACATAAATATATATATATATTTTTTGCCAGGAGCCAAACTTTCTTTCCTTCATATTTCAATAGTGCGGGCGGAAGGCAGAAAGCAGCACATCACAACTTACTGCGAGTTGCCTTTTTACTCAATAAACCAAAACTTTGCTACTGGAAAAGCACTTTTTAAAACTAGTATTGCTGGAAGAAGTTGAGCCCTACGGTCAAGTTTTGCTGACTCCCTTCGCACGCCACAGAGGTTGGCCAGACCAAGACAGCTGCACAGGAGGAGGTCATTAGACATGTCTGGATTGCAAAAAGCAAGGAAGGAAGCTAAATTCTTCTATTGGTGAATAGTAAATTACCAAGTCACATGTAAGAAGCTGTAGCATTTCAATTAGATAAAATTCACACTATGAAATATGAAAAAAAAAAAATCTGGGGAGAGGGCAACAAAAGAAGAACATGTTTGTTCCCCATCTCCACGGTTTTCAATACTGCAGTTTGAACACAACCGAGGAAGGAAACCCCACTAGAATACTGGTCCATCCCTGAACTCAAGGGAAACAAAACATTTCCATTATTACACTGAACAAGAGCACGGGCTTCCAGTGCTCTTCCAACTGTAACAGTAAAATAAGAACTTCAACATTCAATGAAAATTCCCGCTGCTTAAAGATGATACTCTGATGATTTTGCATATTTCAAATTCTGCCTTTTCACACAAAACAGCCTTACTGTCTATTTAATGTCAGAAATGCACAAACAAATATGGTTTAAGGAATATTTACGTGAAGAAATTCATGTGCATTCCCCAGGACTGTTACTGATGACATATTAAGCAAATCAGGTTTTTAACCCCTGCATTAAAGATGCAGCTCCTGAGGCTGGATTCCCCAATCTCTCCTCCCCACAGCCGCCAGCTGAAGCACAAGGCATTACCCTCTCCTGCTCTTGCTTGGTCCTTAGAACTGGGCCTAGGTTCACACAAATGGAGTTTGCTGTTCTGGTGTGGCGTAGTGTATGATGTGTTTGCTGGCTGAAGCAGAACTGATTCTGCAGTTCTTGCAAAGCAGAGAGAGCTTGGAATGAGAGCCAGAGCCAACACTTGCACTTCTGCTTAATGCTAATGAGAGCTCATATGCAACTTAACTCCCTTTCCAGTAAAAACAAAGGTTTGCTGGTGATGATCACAGTGAAAACCTAGATCACTTCTGAGAACGCTACTTTCCTAAGTATTTAAGGAACAGTCTTTCCTAATAGGTTCAAATTCAAGACATTGAAAACTAAATATTCTTTTAAAAAAATATTAGTTTTATATATATACGAGGCATAATTGTTTCTAAAGTGGACATATTCCAAGTAGATTTAATTTTGATTATAGCTTGTTGTTGTCTGCATTCTTGGTCAGGACTTGCAAGTAGACTTCATGGATAGTGCTGAGGAAGTGGGAATCATTCTGCAGGAAAGAAAATACCAGAAATATTAGTATTAAAAAACATCAAAGGAGGCAAAAATCAGCAAAATATTGTGCATAAGGATTCCTAATACAGTACCTCAGGGTGAGGACAAGGGAACTAGTCACCCAGCTGTTCAAACCCCTGAGTTAACACAAAATGGTTTGATATATTTCATATCATGTTTCATAAATTTCCCCACAACAAGAGAGGTCAAAGTGGTGATAACATGGGTACTTCCCAAGTCTAACTCGGGAGAACTTCAGCTGAACAGCCGCTAGCACAGACACAGTTCCACTTCAGAGACAAATGCCACAGTAAAACATCATCTGAAAACACTGGTTACTTTCAACTTAGGCAGCAAAAAGAGTTAAGAAAGAAACAACCCACCACCACCCTTCTCCCCACGTGCCACCATGGCCTGTGGCTCATGTAGCTCTCAGCTCAGATGTCTGCACGCTGACACAGATGTGAAGGGACACCCAACATGGGGCTCTGCCCTTCCAAGGGCTGCATCTCACAACCAAATGACTTAAGAGGAATAAGCTGTGCTACACTACCCAGACAGCCAGGAATATTCTACTCCTTTCAGAAGGAGGGAACAATTTTAAGGCTGCAAGTCCAAAGAAGTTAAGGACAGAGTGTTTCTCAGGACTGGCTGCTGTGCTTGGCACTCTGTGCCTCAAACAGGGAGCTCTGCAGAGACAGCACCTTGATTAGGTGTATCAGTGCTTCCTGCAGCTGAGCCCTGCTGAGAACGGCAGGGGCCATGGGCTGGATCTCTGCTGTTCCCAGTGTTAAAGGAGAAGAAGAAATGGCTTTATTCTCCACTTCAGGAGTTTTTGCAGCAGCCTGCTGGAAAACGCTGGGAGACAAGAGGATTGAAGGAGTTCCCGTAGTCGTGGTTGTAATGAACGGCGGAGGTGCAACCTGTAAGAAACAAGAGGTGAGTAAGCACTGCGCCCTGTGTGAACGACCGCAGTATGAAAGGTTGGAGAAATTCCTGGGGAGAAGCAAGGGAAAGCAAAAACAAAACAATGAAACAAGAACACACACACATTTTTTATTGGAATCAAAGGATCTCAGTACTTCAAAGATACTTAAAATGACTGACGAGCTGTAATCTATGTGTTGGAGTACTCCAAAATATCTGCATTAATAAGTTTCTCCTTTTAACCTGGAGCAATACTCAGAAAACTGTCTTTCTGCCTATTTCCTCTACAGGCACCTATTTATTTACCCAACACTGCTACTAATACCTTTCCTTTTAGGCATAAAGTCCAAACATACAGACCACTCTACTTGTCTTTTTCACTTAAATTTTATGCATTGGCTTTGAGCAACTCTAAGATCTCCAAGTACCTGTAATTATTCAATATGATAATGCTACTACATCTTATTCATTCCACTGTGACAAGCTTGGTAGGGGGGGGCATAAGAAATACAAAAGAACCTTACTCAAAAGAAAGGAAGTGCAAATCCTTTGGCACGCAAGCATGTTTCACAATCAGGCCTGAACCTGCTGCTAAGATTGCTTTGTACAATGCAAACTGGGGAAGAATGAGGTAGTATTTGACATATTTTAAACAATGAAAGGGCAGGTAAAGGGAAATTAGAACTAGAGAACAGCTTGCATCCTGGAGTACATACCAAAAAAATAAAACAGTTTAAGACTTGACTTACTAACTATCTTAAATAGCAATCCAACATCTTACAGCTCCCCTATACTGGGGCTGTCATGTGAGGAGAGTTGCATTCATGTTAAACTCTAAACATGATCAGATGAACAATATGGCTTTTGGAGATGTCATCTGTTTTGAAATACGTATAAACACAGACACACAAATTAAAAAAATTGTTAATCTTCCCTTTCCCCTCCCACTCTCTCCCAAATTTGGCAAAATGTTTATTCACTTACTTGACTTGCTTTACACCCAGCCTTTGGCTGTGGAAATGCTTCTGATTCCTTGTTGTGTTGCACAGCCTAAGTTAAAAAAAAAAAAATCCCAAGTTAGCGTGAACAACTCGGCTTTCAGTAGTTGTAGCTCGTTATGAAACCATAAACATGCAAGTTATCAACATATGTTTACGAGTGGCTTGTTCCATTTTGTAAAGTAGATGTAATCTATGGGAAGAGGAAAAGAAAAAAGGATCTGAACTCTTGTTTCAGACTTTATTAAATTCCTCTGGCATTCTTAGAAAGGCTTAATAGAGCCCTTCCACATACACCTTGGCAGTGAGGACAGGTGTTTAAGCAAAAACCCTCGCTACAGAGAATACTCAGTTTACCTGAGCCACAGTGAAAAAATTCACAAGGAATTGATTACTCTAAGAGAGAGGTTCAAATTAGCTTTATAAAATAACAATGACAACAAATCAATAACAACAGAGACAAGGGGGCTTAGGCTGCTGAAATATATTTTTTTCTCCTGAAAAGAGGGAAGAATTAATTCAGTACCCTCAAAAAACACTGACTGGACGGGGACAATACCAGCTCTTGCAACACAGATCAATGGACAATTTTCCGTCATTTCTCAGATCGTCAGTCCTAAGAGTTTTTAGGACACTACCACTGGTAAATTCCTTATGGGATATGCTCACCACTAACAGCAGCACCTTGAAAAACCCCTCCTCTACATAAATGCACATTCTACAAGGAAGTGTTTGTAGCCTAAAAACACTTTAAAAACATATGAACATACAGAAATCCAGAGAATACCTGAAGTGGAGAGATTATTTTGCTGTTCAAGGTTGGTGGTTTACTGTGAGACTCTTTGAAGCTCTCTGGTGTTGCAAGTTGGCCAATAGAGCCAGAGGTGTTTGGGGTTAAGGAAGCCTTAGTGCCAGACTGCTGCTGCATTTGGTCATGCTGCGGGGTCAACCTGAGTTTCTGGAGAAGATCAACACTTGTATGGGATGTATTCGGGACAGTTCCTGTATTTGTTGATGTCAAGGGTGGTATCAAGTGGCTTTGGCCAGCCACAAGACCCTGCGAAGCGTGGTTCATGTCAGATGGCAGCTGATTCACTAGTGGGGAGATGTGCTGGGAAGCTTGCTGCATAACTTGCATGATGCTGTTGTTTTGTTTTAGGCCAGGAAGCATCTGAGCTTCCACTGTCGAGGCTGAACTAAGAACAGGGCTTAAACGAACTGAATAGCTTGAAACATTTTTTACATCAGGCTGGGAAACTGAAGCTGGAGGTATTAGTATAGGTGTCAAACCCATATCCTGCTGATTCAGAGCACTGGGCCCCGTTTTAATGCTGGGACCTTCCGATTTCCCTAGTGGTTGGTGCGTGACTGCCGATGGGTCAAAGGAAAGGGGCAAGAGCAGCCCACGCTGCTCCCTGGTCGGGGCCTCGGGCTGCAGCCTCTCTGCACGCTCCGGGCCGGGATACGGAGCTGCCGCCTGCTCCTTTGGGACAGACGTTCCAAACAATTCCTCCAAGGTCAGGTGCTTCTGTCTTGACTGAAGGGGCTAAAATAGAAAGGAAAAAGGATTTAGAGTCAGTACAGATAAGTCATATATCTTTGTGCCTCTCACACAACCTATTACAGCCTTTAAAACAAAACAAGAATCCCCGCAAAATAAAACAGTTTGTATTACTGAACTCTTTAAAGCACAGTCTGGATATTCAGCGCCTCCTATTTACAAGAATTTTTAAGCTTATTTCATTTACAAGAAACAGCCTCTCTACACAGATTAATTACCCCAAAAAGTTCACAAGGATTAAAAAGATAAGTCTTGTTGACCCATGACGCAGCTGATGAACACGAGGTGGCCCTCGCATGAGACAGCACAGGGCAAGGAAGCACTAACATCCCCTCACGGAGGGACAGGACAAGTTCCACAGAGCCTTGGCTACAGGAAACATTTCTGAACCTTACCTGGCAAACGCAGCTAAATGTTTTTTTTTTTTACTGAAAGTGTAACCAAGTGTTCAGCTGAGAAAAAGTTCATTTTGTCACGAAGTTCTCTACTCACATTAGTGGCATCTTTTGAGCCAAAAGAAACTAAACCACAAAACCCATTACTTTCTCCAGCAATGTACTAAAAATACTTCTCTACACAAACTAGTTATGGAGCAAGTTATGCAATGAGCTGCTCAGCAGCTTCAATGCTGTACTTGGCAGTGCTGGTTAGTCATTTGACTAATACCAGGGACTCATTAAAGTGCAAAGACCAACTGCATCATAAATATGAAACATATCACCAACAGAGATATTTGAGATAACTGAGCTTTCTATCACCTACGTTTCAGAATCAGCTTCAGGCTGACCTCAATGAAGGTGAGTCATCAGCTATCACAGGACTTTCCTTCGTTTATTCCAGTTGCACATTTCTTCCCCCATGTACATTACTGTTGCTTTCCCAACTCTGTCTGCACAAGCTGTAACAGTGACGGATCTCCAACAACTTGTCACTGCAGTAAATGTTTACATCCCGTCCATTTGTGCATGAAACCTCGTTCAGGGGAAGGTGTCTACACCTGCATGCATGCACATATATAAAGAGCGCGCGCCTCTTCAGCAATACACATTCAGCAAAAAGATCTTCAGTATTATGCAAAGTGTCCTAGTTAATTCCTTATAAGACACCCTGCCAGTTCTATCCTAGTACACCCAAACCTTATGCCAAACCAGTCTGATACAGGAGATATTTTAGCTGAAGTAATTTAAAGCGTGTTTTACTGGAGACAAGAGAAACAGCTACCGACATGCTGATGTCAGCTCCTTCGTGCCCTGCTGGGCGCAGAGGGCCAGCAGCTCTGCGAGGCAGCTGGGGCCCAGCGCCACACTGTGCTCAGCAGCCGACGGGGCCCGCGGCGCAGGCGCAGCCCGAGCAGCTCCCGGCAGACAGGGGCCACCCCGAGCCCCAGGTCACCGACACCCAGAGCGGCACCAGCGCCAAGAACAGGGGAAAGAGCAAACACGAAGCCCCAGAGCAAATATCGCTGCCTCCCACTCGGGTTGCCAGCTTGTACTGCCATTGCTGACACTCACTACTAGCAAGATCATCATCAGACATCTTTATTTTGTAGCAAGACATTATGTAGCTTGCTAGTCTTGTTACATCAGACATCTTTATTTTGTAGCAAGACTAGCTTGCTAGTCTTGTTATTATGGTGGGAATTCTTCCTAGGAAGCTGCTCTTAGTTTTCTTTACTGATCTTACCATTCTGGAGACCTGCCCTTCATCTATAAAGATAATGTTAAGAGAAACATCACTCCCATCTCATTTTGAAATGAGTCTTTCACCTCACTATGAGCTGTATACAAGGCAGCACCACCACCTTACTTGACAGGAGCACAGGGCTGCAGATAATGATTTCTGGGGACATCTTTCAGATATATTAAGAGGGTTGAATTAGTCAGAGCTGGTATTGCACTGCCTAACTTCAGTGTTCTAGAAACCATCCAGCTTTGCTGATCACTAGTTCAAAAGCACTTCATGATAACGATTCAGAAAGCAAATGGGTTGTAAGATCCACAACAAACTACACATTGTCACAGGGCAATCTGGATCCCCAAGTGTCTTATATTTTGCCATGAAATATGAAGTTAGTTAATCAACACGAGGGCTACATTGTGTGGGGGGTTTCAGAAATTCATAGTACATATCACATGAACACTGTTGGTTTTAATTCACTGGCCATGCCTTTCAACTAAACTAAAAAAATAAGTTTTACAGCTGAAATAGGGCATTTTTCTGT